CTCTTGTGCCAGAGACTAGCATATAAACTGAATGCAGAAATGGAATCTTTCTCTGCAAAAGAAAGAATTTAGTGAAATTGTCATCTGTTGGTTTTGGTTTTTTTTTCCCATCCTTTAGTCACATATTTAGAAAGACATAAAATGTACAATGTCTACACTGCTACCTGATAAATGGGGTGTTAACACCATTCAGACATTATTCTCTTCCCTTTTGCTACCAAATGAATTCCAAAGATAAATTTAGGATGGTTTGTTTGGGTTTTGACTAAATTTTAAAAGTTTTGCTTTTAAGGTTGCTGTGTTTTTGTAGTCCCTGTTAGCACCTGCATCTTTCCCAAGGCGTGGTTCTGTATTTCCTTATCAGGAGCAGCACTTTTGCTGGGCAGGAGTGGACCAGAGCAGGTAATCAGTGTCTGCTGCTGCAGGCTGGCACCAGCCCTGGCAGGGACCTTGGCAGGGTGTTTTGGGTTCCATGGAATAGAAATGGGAATCTTCTGGGTTTGGGGGAATGCTGGAGTTGGTAAATGGGGATTGAAACTGGAGAGGAGAGGTGGTAACTGGGTCAGGTAAGGTTATGCATTGCCTGGAGTGACTTTCCTTTGCACAAGCATTGGATCATCCCTGTTCTGAGGCTTAGCTCTTCTTTTTACCCTAAAAAACCTCCCTCCTTGGCCTTTTGGAAAATGATAATGTTAGTGAGGTCATTGTGGAATTGGATGTTAGGCAAACCACTGGATATTTTGTTAAATAAGAAGGTCCTTGCCAGTATTTTGCAATCAGTCCTTTAAGTTTAAACCACATCTTAAAGCTAAAATGTGTCTTTGTCTATGGATAGATAAACTTGTGTGTGTATACAGCATGGCCTAATCCCCTCATTAATTATAGTTCCTTTTTCATTGCAGGGATCTTTAAAATAGATAAACAGCAGTTCTGAAATCACAACATGCAGTGAAAACCTTAATGTGTTTTGAAGTTACTTAGAGGGAGGCCTATACAAGGGGCCAACTATTTCTTATCAAGAAAAATACTTTTGAAAATCTTTCCATAGTTCAGGTATTTTCTTCAAAACCACATCTGATAGGGATTTAGTTTCTATGTTCAATAACATCATCATGAAACATTAACACATTACAAACAACAACCTTTTTTATCATTTTAGCATTACTTGCCAGGATTAAGTTTAAATTATGGTAAATAATGGTCCCTAAAAGCTGTGTAAGTCCTGTTATTTCTGTCTTCCTTTTTTATTTTTTTTTCTAAGACAGATGTATTTACTTTCTATAAAATGAGTGTGTAATACCAGGTGAAAAGATGAATTGCAAATGGTCTTTGTTGATTTTAAGACTTGGTGGTCATGACATGGCTAGGAGAAAAAAGCTGAACTTAACTTCAGAGGAACTTTTACTTACTGAGGGGGGAGAAAGGGCTTTGCTTCCCAAATGCCCTGCAGGTGACAGTGGGAAGCTGTGTGTGCTGTTGTGCAGCTCTGGCTGCACATCCCCTGTGCCAGGGCCCTTTCTGTGTGTGAGGTGATGCTCAGCTCCGTGGTGCCTCTCCTGGGGCAGCTGAAGGGCATTTCCATGTTTTCCATGAGGAGTGGCAGAGCTGTGCTGCTGCTGCTGGGGTGTGCAGTCAACCCTCTCTGCAGTAATACCTCCCTCTCAGTAACATGGCTCACAGTGAAAAGAAGCTCAAGAACATATCTTCCTCCTTTTCCAACAGGCAATATTAAACCTTGTGTGCAAGCAGGATGGAATGTGTGCAAGTTCTGGGACTTTCTCAACTCTCAAACTTAGCAGTGAGAGCTGTAGATTGCCAGAAAATAATAAAAATAACCCCTCCTAGCTCAGCAAGAGATTTTTAAAGCACTTTTGAGAAAGTCTTGAAATGTAATTCTTTGTCTTGCTGATTTTTTTTTTTTTTCCCCAGTAATTAGAAGTTTTCAGGTAATTTTTGAGTCTGTCAGCTCAGCTGCTCCCTGTAACACAGACATCTTGTCTGACACCCCAAAAGCAGGGCTGCAGAGCCCTGAGCGTTTTCATCTCCTCCTTCTCGGGCTGTGTGTTGGTTATGTTGTGGATTGCAAAGGCCAGCACAAAACTTTGCAGTTTTCCCAGGTGTGAAACACTCTGAACTCATCTGTAGAAGGGGACATAAATGCAGAGCTGTACAGGGTGCAGCAAGGGAGGTGGGTTTGGATCCATTGCACACACAAGTTCTCAGGCAGATTTGAGATGGTTTCAAGGCTCTTGTTTTGTCTGAAAGACCTAAACATCCTTCTCTAAGTACCAGACCTTAAAACATGTTTCAAATTGATGCTTCAGAATTCATATTTCAGGCAATTCTGGTCACATATTTCTCCATTTGGAGAAAGGAAACCTTTCTGAAGAAGGTCTGAGGACCATCAAGGTCTGGGCAAGTGAGATCTTGTCAAGCATTTACAGACAAATGTTCTTAATATTGAATACCTTGTTTAGTAGCATGAACCATTATTTCCTTATCTCTGGTTGTTCCTTTCTTTCTTTACTAAGATATTGCTTTCCTGTGTCCTGTTAAATTCCTCATCCTGTTAGAAAAAGGGAGGGAAAAGGGAGAGAAATATTGCACTGAGCTGCACAGACACATTGTCATTGTGGCTTCCTATTAACTTTCTGCTGATTTCTGCTCACTTATCACGTGCTTTAATGTTGTGTTACACTTTCCAGCAGCAGTGTGTCTCTAGTGCTTTGTCTCTGAAGCACTAAAACTTACTGTTCCCTACTTTGCTTTTGTTGTCTTCCTCATGGAAAATAGCCTCCTTAGGATCACAAGAACAACAGGGCCAGTTATTTTAATCAAATGATGTTTTTCAGGATCTTGAAAGGTTGCTATATCAGCCTCTGCTCTGACCTCTAAAACAAAATCACTTCCATTCATGTTATTATCTTCAGCGTGTGGGAAACAGATGGAATCTGAATATTCTATTTTTCCTCCCTCCATTTTTATTTTTTTTTTGTGTTTGCTTGATTCCTTTTGAAAATGCAACCAACCTATAAGCAAACAGCCTCCTCTGTGTTCATTCCCCAGCATTCTCCAAATATTCACATTCTTAAAATACCATCATCTTCCTTATTTTCTCAATTCTGTATTTGTTTACACTCAAAAGCTTCTTTGTAGCTGCCTACACTGAGCTGGGAAAACATATAGTCTAGTCCTGCTTTATGTAAATGTACAATAGATTGTTAATGTCTTTGTTACCAGATACTAGCAAGCTTTATTGAGGACAAATCCATATGCCAGTGAAATTGTACAACATGAATGTTCCCAAATGTATGCAGTGCTCTTCAGATTAATTAGATTCTATGGAACATATTCCCATCACAATGTGCAGGGGTTTTAAACATATAACTCTCATTAATGTTAATGGGAGTCACATGCCTAAATCCCAGCACTTCTAGATAGGAATAGCATCGCTTTAAATGAAGCTGGGGTCCACCTTACTGTGAACCATTACAAGTGATGATTGCAGTTTTCTCCTATGGATGAGAAGGGAACAAGTGCTACCAAATCATCTCTCTGAAGCATTTAATATTTCTAATGTTGCTCAGAAAAAATCCCTGTGCTGAACTGAAGAAACAGCTCAGTACTGGAAGTTTTGCTGTTGTGTTAAAAAGTGAAGTATACCTGTTCAACACTCAGCCTTAAAATAACAGAAAGGAGCAGGAAATAGCTTTTGTATTTTTTAGAAGAAGGAAAGAACAATCCTCTTTCTTGGTAGCACTCATCACATTTTTGTGAATTTTAAATGATACGTAACCAAAATGTACATTAATTAATAAGAATTCTATTAATATTTCAATGTGGACTGTTTAATTACATTTTTCCTAAACCGAGCCAATAGTTTTGGTGGCAATTTTTTTTCCAAATATTATTTCATGTTAGTTCATAATACAGTTCTTTCACAGTGCTAGAAATGCAGCAGGAATGGGAATGCTGGAACTCTAAGGCAATTCTTGAGCAAAGTTGGTGTTTATGGACCGTAAATAGAGAAGTGGAGAAATTGGACTGTGAGGTGGTTAAGGAAATTTTGGATTACTTTAGGTCAGTCTACAAAACTCAATAGTTAATGTCTTTATCAGTTAACTAGCTGTGATCAGCCACAGGCTGATCACACTAGCCACTTGGAACAAGTGACAATCTCTTCAGAGATACTAGTGGGTAGAAATAGGTGGGCTTGTGTTTTAGGTGAACGTTTCTGTGTCATCCTGAAGCCAGTGTGAAATTTATTTTTATGGTCTTGTGCCCATGAGGAGCTGTGTCTCGGAAATCCTGCTCTGGAGTAAGGAGAGCAGATTTCTGACGTCCCATAGATTCCCATGGAGGCTGATTTTGCAGTCTCAAGGGTGGGATTAGGTTCTGCTTGCAATGGGATGCAGTGGCCTGGGAAGAGGACACCATTTCCATGGCAGGAGCAGATGTCATTGGCAGCATGGTTCTCTACTCCTTGCTTGCTCCTGCAGGTAGTAGTATTATGTAAACTTCGAAAGGTTTTATATTCCTAAAACAACCAGGCCACAAACAGAAGAGACAGAAAAGGACTAATTCTGTGTGGCATGATTGAATATGGCAATAGGCCAGACTGTTTTAGTCTACTGGAAAAATCCCAAATACTGTGTATGGAAGCTGACTGTGGGATGGAGAAGCTACATCATTGCTTGGTTTATGTGGCATACGTGTTGGGCAGGCTGAAGAGAAGGACACAAAATGCATCTGGTCATCTTCAAGAGGTCCTTGATATTTGTCTCAGAAGAAATGCTCTACATCAAGACTCTTTTTCAGTAAAATATGTAGGGAAAAATGGTCTATCTAATACAGCTGTGAGCTGGGGTGGTTCCTCAGCCTAAGGGAGGAAACCTTTAATCCCTAAAAATACTGTGGATGGTTGTCCAAATTTGAGTGTCTTCTGCTACCATTTCATCCTCCAACCCTGTTGTTTGGTCCATTTTTCTGTTCCTCAGAACAAAGATAAGCAGGAGATCTGGTTTGCACAATCACACCTATGGAGAAGCACGCAGAGGTTGGGAGATGGTTATCACCGACCACGTGTCAACATCTTCAAAACTCATCTCGATGTGAGTAAACTGTTGCTCAAATAAAGCTCAATTCCTTCCTGCTTATTCGGTGCTTTGCTTATTACACTAAATTGCAAGCTTTCTGTCTGTGATGTCATCTTTCTTGTGATGGCTTCTCTATAATCTTCTGATTCATTTACGACTCAAAGCAACCATCTCTGTTCCTGAGAAACTAACTGAACATCAAGTTCCAACTCTTGTGGAAACTGGAGGCACTATGTAGTCTTTGCTTTTCCCTTTCACTTCCTTTTCCACTGTCACATTTTTTACTCATTTCTGCTTCTACCATGTCCATTCTTGGAAAGGGCAGAAGTTTCTTTTCTTTTCCTGCCACATCTTTCCTCACGACATCTCTGAATGATTGCTGATTGATTTGGATGTGTGAGTCATGGCTAAAATGGAGTGCCTCATCTCCCCCACCAACCACCTCCACCCCCATTTTTGTGTCCTCTCTCAGCCCTGCCATGCGAGTGCCACTGGTGACTCATCTCTCTTTGTGTTACTTCATCTCACAAGTGACCAGTTTTGTTGGAATGTTTATGCCAGCTCAGGATAAAGTTGGTAGATTGAGGGTTCACTGGTGCTTTCCATCATGTTGGACTGTTCCAAGAGCTAAAAAATTCCTTCCTCAGCATCTTTTTCCGTCAGATAGTCCATCTAGCTGGTGTTAAGCTGGGAAGAGATTAATTGAGGTGGTTTGGATGATTTGTCTGGTGGCCAGGAAGGACGCTGCACAGGGCCAGAATGTGACAGAGCATTGTTTGAGTGGAAGGAAAGGCACCAAATTCTTCCCTTCACTGGTTTGGCATGCAGTGACCCAGAATGAGTTTGTCCTTGTAGCCCAGCCAGATGCAGAAACTGCTTCCTCTGACCATCCTTGCACAGACTGTAAGAAAAGACATCAGGAAAAGCAGAGGTGGACTTGTAGCTGCCCAGTGTCAGTGGTGATTCCATAGATGCAGTTCTCAGCAGTGGATTTAGTGTTTCTGGGTATTTTAGGAAATGTATTAACGTAATTTCTCACCTGCATATGTAGCTGGGAGTCTGAAATGAGAGATGGGAACATTGGTTGACCTTCAGCAAGAAAAACCTGATAAAAAGACTTATTTCTTGGCCAAAGCTTGCTAAAGAATTTCATTCATATTCTGATTGGCACTGACCAACACTCCTACAATTCTAGTTTAAAAAGCATAAAAAGTGCACTTCCAGCTTAGTGGAATTCAGTAGACTGAGAGAAATGATTTCTCTCAATCAAAAGCAGAGAACTGGTTGTGTTGCAAAAGCTTTGTAAAACACTATGTTTGCTTGACTAAAGTGGGCTGGAACACTCATGCTGGGGGATGCAAAGTAGCATTTTCTTTTCTGATTTACTCAAGATAGACAAGTCAGTGAAAAGCACTTGAGAGGAGAGAGCAGGTGTATTTCCTTCCCCTGGCCTACTGTTTGCTCAAAGCCTATCCTTATTTGATACCTCTGTTGATAAAAACATTTTGAATACAACATAAATACAAAATTATCCAGGCAAGCAGTGAAACACCCATATAAGATGTTCAGCCTGGAGCAGCCCTTTGGATCATGGCAAATTCTAGCATGATGGTGGTCCAAAGATGAGAATGGATGCTATTTATTTGTCTACTTGGCACAGATCTTTAACACTTCCTTTAGACTTTCACAATCCCTTGGCTAATATTGCTGGCAAAAATTTGTGGAGAGACATCAACCATCATACTGAAGGATGCCTCATCCTTAGTATTTCTGTTTCCTGAGTGCCTTCCACTGTACCACCGCTCTCATTGCTAGGTATTATACTTGGGAAAAGTGCTTTCTTGATTAAAAAAAAAAAATAAAAGGTGGGGAAGAAAGAGAAAAGGGAGAAAAAGGGCTTGTGAGCCTATGGTGAACTTAATTAACATCGCTGGAGGGACAGCAATAAAGTACTTAACAGGGCCACAGTGATACGTCGCGAGACATGAACGACTCAAAATATTTTTGACATATTCAATTATTTGCAGTTGTGGGGGTCTTGTATTCTCTGACGACTCCTGAAAATAATAAAGCACTTAAAAGTTCCGCTCTCACTTGGCTGACCCAGCGCTCTCGCAGCAGCACAGTGTGTTACCCCGGGAGGGAGCTGAGCCGCAGCCAGCGCTGGGCGAGGAGCGCTGAGAAAGCAGTACACACAGTCCCTCTGGAGGGGAGCAGCTCACATTCATCTCTAGGGGCTCTTCCTGCCTGGCCTGTATTATTTATTTTACTATTATTAGCATTTCTGAGACACCAATCACTATGGTAACTGTGTGCCCATAATAACTTTGCATCTCTGTGATTCTCTCCACCAGCGGTTTCTCTGTGCTTCGCAGTTGCTAATTGCTTTCACCCCGCACGCGTGGCCCGATGCACTCTCTGAGTTACTGAACCTGAGGACCTGCTACAGATGGGAAAGCTGAGGTGCAGAGGGTTTAAGGTATGAGCCTTTACAGGTCTACTCACTCCTGGACCTGCCTCTCCAGGATAAATCTGCATTTCAGCTCCTTTCCTTGGCTTCCTAGAGGTGCACTGCAATAGGGACTTAAGCCATCGAGCCCTTCTAGGCTTCATCTTTCTCTTTAAATTGTTCCTATCACTTTTCCTCTGCCTGCTGAGCCCTTGAGACGTAGTGCTGGGAGCCAGGGCAGGCTCTAGCTGAATGATCTTGATGAAAATATTTCTCACAGCTCGTCGAGAGCGCATTTTGCCCCAGCCTTTCATAGACAGACAGAGTAGGCATCGTGACCCCACGGCAAGTATGAAGAAGGACTTAGAGGAGGACCTCAGTGTCTGTGCAGCTCAGCTGTGCCCCCTGCCAGCCTCAGAGACACAGCCCCATGGTATTCAGCACCAGAGATGCTCACTGGGGGACCAGTGCAGTTATCCCCACAAACCTGCAGGTTAGGAACACCTCAGAGGAGAAACCTCCCCCCACATCCAGATCACAGGGCAGCAAACTCATCCCCGCATTTCGCTCCAGTTTTCAGCAGCAGCCAGGACTCTGTGGCTGCAGTCACCCACTGGCACAATGGTGTCATTTTTAATCCTTTTAATATCTCTCTTTTTAAGAGCATCTTAGCTCGGGGGCCACATGGAGGCTGAATGGCAGGAAGCCTGTGAGCTCTGGGGTTGTGAGGGGAAAGACACAGTCTGCAGCAGTGCCAGCATGCACATCACAGGAAGAATTATGGTTGATTTTCACATATATCTATAACATCTGTGCGGCTAATAAAATTGATGGAGTTTGTCATAATCAGCCTGTACTCTCCAGTGAGAGAATTATGTCTGAGCATTTGGAAATCTCATGCACAGGCAGTTACTGAGGGAATGCTGTGAAGATTAAGTTGTTTCTGCGTGGCAATGAATGCCCACGCTGAAATGTGCTGCCTGCTTCTGTGCTGCACTGGGGTCCTCAGGAAGAGTATGCTGTTAAGTGGGACACTTGTATTAACTAGAAAAACACGCTTTTATGTGCTACCTGCTGTCACAAGTGTGCATTTACGTTCGTGCTGTAGCACTAAAATAGTGGATTTCTAAAGCAAACGAAAACTAATCCCAGAAATATTGCATGGAACAGCCCTGGTCCCTGCTCTGTGTGGAAAAGGGGAAGTCTCCCCCAGAAAAACATAAAGGCACCACTCTGGTCTCCCACAAAACCACCGCCCACCAGTGCTCCTGGCATTGCCTGTGCCTTGGGACTGGCTTTTGGAACTCCTGGGCTGGCTCTGGCACAGGGCATCATGTCCTGCCCATCACTGCCACCCGCTGCCTTGGGAGCCCAAAACCCAAAATCCATGGGGGTGGAATGGACTGAACTTATGGCATGCTCGTCCCCCAGGGGCTGAAATGTGAGGAATGGGTGTTTTGTAAAGTTATGCTTTTCTAGAGAACATACAGTAACCTTTTGTAATAACATTACTTAGTGTGCCACATCCTGGAGTTTTTTTTCTGCTGTGCTGAAGAGCTGGTATAATCCATGTTCTTTTGCTGGATCAAATGTAATCAGCTGATAGTTGTCAGGTTCCCCAGGAAAAAAATGGACAAATAATGCTGTGATGACAAATTCTGATCACATTCGTTTTATAAGCAGAGATAGTTGCAATTTCATATGTGATTGATTGAAAAACAGTACTCAAGAGGGATTCATACATTCTGTATTTATTTACTGCATTTTGTTGGCTATGGGCTTAAACAAAATTGTTTTTGCATCCAAAATGTAATCTGAATGCCTGTGAACACAAGAAGGCAGATGAACACAAGTCATTTGGGCATCCAATTCCTTTGCATGTGCATGTAAACACTTCTTTTTGAAATATCAGAGTGGGCAACATTTAGCAGTTTGTTAAAAATACAGACTCTGATTTTTCAGGGTGGTGTCTTGATTTGCCATAAATCTGGAATATGTGTAACTCTGACTGTGGCAGTTCTGTACCTTCTGCCTCTTCATTTCCCTGTCAGCTCTGAGGCTTAGGAAAACTCCTGGAGCAGTGTGTGATACTGTTGTTTGAGATCAGAAGAAATCCAAACCAAATGAAACTCTTTGGTAACTCCTCTGTCTTTCTGGGGTGGATATAGCCATTCCTGCTCCACCTTTTTAAAGAGTTTTGAGGCCTGACCCAAAACACATAAATTTCTGAGGGTTTCAGCTCAAACCCATGTTGCTATAAGATGTTAGTACTGTACTGCCATTTAAAAGTGAGTTCAAGTCTTTTATTGTTTTAGATCCAATGATAATAAAGACAAATGCATTGGATTAATAACTCCTACCTTGAAATTTAATTTAAAATCTCTTGTAATGTAATCACATTTGGGTGTGCCATTACCCAGATGGAGAGAAATTTGTTTTGTTGAGAAATTGCTTTAGCATAAGAATGACTTGAGTTTATTAACAGGGAAAAAAACATGACTCCCCTCCCCAGCCACTCCCCATGCATTCCAAAAATAAGAAACTCATTTCAACATGGACATTACTGGTTAAAAAATAATTACACATAATGAAATGTCATATTTCACACATACTCCCTGCAAACCATGCTTCTTAGTCTTCCCCAAAACACTGCAGGGTGTAACTCTTTCTTCCTCCTTCATGAAAAGAATATTTCACAATGGAATTGTGTGATGACAAAAAGTGGTGCTGGAAAAGCATCACTACCCAGAGAGACATAAGGAATTGCCACAGGCCACTGCTTATAATCCCACACAGTATTAAGTAGTCATTGTATCTTTTTCCAGGGCCTCATTCTTCTTTTGTGACCTACAGCCTCAACGAGAGTTTTTACAGAAATGGAACACCACGGAACAGCAAATTTGGGACCCCTGTCACTTGACAAAAGAAATGTTTGGCTCAGAATGCTATTTTTCTTAAATGTATCTTTCAGCCACTGTCATTAAAATTGTTGAATAGCTTTAGGAACCTGTTTTGTCAACTACCTTGGGGACAAGTATGAAATACTGGGCTGTTAAACGTGCGCCACAGAAAATGAACTGCGCCGTGCATGAGCCGCGGGAGGAGCACACCTCGGCTCCTCGTGGACCCTCCCCACTGCTGCAGCAGCTTTAATTAGCTGGGATTAGGTATTCCCAACTCAGGGAGATGCTCTTCATAAATATTTGTTTGCACTTAAAAGCAGATTTCTGCAAAGGTTCTGGTGCTGGCAGTTTCCCTGCAGGAGCCAAAGTGGGGATGCAATGCCCAGAGGTGCACGATGTGCGCAGCCCATGTTGTGCACTGAGGACACTTCATCAGCCAAGTTTTGGGTTATTTCTTCAAGTAGGGCATTGGTGGGGCTGATTCTTACATTTTTAGATATATTTAGTATGTAAAAAAATGTGTACACCACTGTGCATTAAACTGAACTGCACAAATGAATTTTGTGCCTGAGAGCAAGAATATTCATTGTATACATTAATGCTTCCTCATTTCTAATTATTTATTTCTAAATATGGGTGAAGCTGCCTGTCTCTGGAGGGGGGTATTGCAATTGTGTGAGGTTATGTTTGGATGGATAGAAGTGTTTTACTCCCACAATATTCCTTTTTAAATAAATATGTAGTGATAAGCCAGTGACATTGCTAAAAAAAGACACTGCTAGAAATTATGATTATCATAACTGTAGTGGACTGGGGTAATGGTGCTGAGTTAAAGTTCCTGTGGTAAAGTTTTTGCACATTCCAGGGACTTTTTGAGAGAGTAAGAGGGAAGCCAAAGATGTTTGTGGGTTTTTTACTCCTTTACTCCCTCCAGAAACAAAATAGGTAAAAATGAAAGGAACAAGCAATGCTGGAAAGGAACAAAATAGGAAGGTAAGTAACTGATTGGAAATCCCAGGAACAGAATAGAAAGACAAGGAAGGCTGACAAAATATTTTAATTATTCTCCTTGAACGAAAGAGTTATGTGGGGGAAAAGAATGCTCATTTTAATTTTATGAAATTGAATTTTATAAATTCTCTCTGTTTAATGCAACTGTCTACTCTTGCTTGTAATTAAAAGTATTCAATGGTAGCACTTATTAACCTCAGTAACACTTTGTTTAAAACAATATTTTGCAAAATTGCAGTCTGTTTTTCACTGCTGTGCATTGCTGCATGTCTGGGAGAGGTTCTACAGCCACCCATAACCCACTTCATCCTCAAATCCAGGCATACTTTGCATTCAGAGCTTTGAAAACCAGCTAAATTTACACCCAGCTTGCTCTGGAAATAAATCTGCTCATTTAGATGAGGTCTCATTTAAAATGGCTTAGCCCAATAATTAATCATTTCATTCTCTTTATATATTTGTGGGTATTTGAAAGAAGTTTGATTAGTTACCAGTGATTACACTTCCCAACACCCTGCAAAGGAAATAATAAAATAAAATCCGTCAGGCTTTTGTAAGGATTGCTTGGGCTGAATTTGGGCCGAATTTAATAGTGACTTACTAACTGGCAATTATTTGTCTGCCTTTAACAGGAACTCCATAATGAAAGAGGTTATCATCCAGGAGTTATACCCAGCTTGTTTTTAAACCTGCAAAGGGAAGATAATGTGAACAAAGCAGTGATGGCTCTCAGGTTCCTCCCCAGGTACCAGGAGAGCAGTGGGGCTGTTTTGGATCACCTGAGCACAGGTACCACCCTTTGGCACCCCCTGGGACACTCCTGCTCCTCCTGCCCATCATTCAGGCTCCTTCACTAAGTGCAAACAGACAGAAAAGCTTCCAGTCACTGATCTTTTGTTTCTAAATGCCCTATATTATTTTAAGGAGTCCTGAGGTTCAAGATATTTTTATAATCTGAGGTTTTTGGCTTGTAAGGAGATGGAGAGGGTAAAAGATCGTGTTGGTCTGAGTAGATATTACACCTCTAAAGCTGCCCGTGGTTTCTTATCTGTATTGTGGGCAAAGTGGATGGATGTCAGAGTTCAACACACCCATGCTGTTTAACCTGGCGCTATTATCACAATGACCTTAACCAGCTAGGCAGTTCACAGAGCAGGCACTAAACAGAGCATGAGATGAATTTAATGGATTACTAGGGAGTATGTTATTGCAAGGAGAAGCACCTGTGGAGCAACATATTTACCTCAGTTCCACTGAATGAGCATGTTGAAAGTGAATTGGCACAGCCTTCTGCTTTATGAAAGGAAGTATTTTGTCATTCTTCATGCTTTCATTAAGAGGATTTAAGGCAGAGGATGCTGAAATGGTTCTGTGTTAGCACCAAAAAAAAATCACAGATTAATAGTGGAGCTTGAAAATAGTAAAGCATCTGATTTTTGCTTTTTCATCAACAAGCCTAATAAACCAGGATGAAACTATTAACATACAAATAGACAACCTTCTGATTAAAACAGCAGCAGCCAGCCCAGCCTGAAAAAGACCTCTTCACATAGAAAGCAATTATGATGGCGAGTGTTGTCCGATTCACTTCTATTTACAACAAACCTAAAAAATCAGAATGTAACCAATCATAATTTTGCAGAAAACCTGGTGTTATTTAAAAACGAAGATGCTCTTGATTTTTCTTATAATGATTAACATTTCAGAAGCCCCCAAATGTACTGCAAGGTTGTACTCCTTTGAATTTCTACTCTAGGCATATACTGTAAATAAGAAGTAAGCCCTGAGGATAAGGTATTGTGGGAAACTTCCCCAGAGGAGGGATGGATATTATCCTAGATTGTACTGCTGTAGTATACTTAACTTCATTTCCTGTATGTCCCCTAAGATGGTCATCCATGTTAAAAAATATACTTAATTACTATCCCATCATTTAACCATCTACCTCCTGGTGGTGGCGACCGTAGCGGAAAGAATTTTCCTGATTTTAGTCAGGCCATGACAGCTGATACCACTCAGATGTCCCAGCCTGGAAATTTTGTTTTGTCATGGAAGGAGTGACTGGCAGGGAAGAGTTTTCCCTCATGACAAAGCAGACCTGGTTTCCTGTTTACGCGGACAGGGCGCTCTGTGCGCGAGCTGTCGCGGAAGCGCGTCCGTAGCGTGGTCACCCCTTGGAGCAGAGAGGCTTTTCAGGAACTCTCTGCTGGCTAATTCCCATTTATGCAAGTGGAGCATAAGTGGTACCAAGCCCTAAACAGTTTCCTCTTTTTCCCTATTCAGAAAGGGTGTAAATACATGCCAAAATCCCTCCTCATTCAGTGATGTGCAGAGGCTCATCTGTAATTTAAAGCACGTGTTGTAGGACTGGTTGTTTTCTGAGAAGAACATGAGTATGTTGAGATTTTTAATATTTTTCCTATGTCTTGAACATTGATACACACTGTTCATTTTAGAGGAAGGAGTCAAGATACACTTTTCCAGGTAGGTGTAGGAATGCCTGTAGAATTATCTGAAGGAGTCCACTTCATTTTATGTGAGAGACAGAGTTCTCTTGGATATTTTGAAAATATGTCTTAACATGCTAACTGAAATGTTGAGACGTTTTGGTATTTATCTTAATTTTGATATTGAGGCAGGTGTGCATTTACTGTGCCAGTGAGCTCATCATCCCATTACATTTTCCTTTAATTAAAATTATTTTCAATATTCCTTTCCTAGCAGAACATAAAACTGGTAGTTTCTTACTTCTTTAGGTGGTCCAAAATTGATCATTATATATTATGAAAGAATCTGGAGATGGAGCATGCTGGAAGATGTTTTCTGCATCACACAGAGTTAAAAGCCTAATTAGACAGCTAAAGTAGCCTCCAAATATGCAGACGCTCTTTTGCACTCCAAAATAGTTGCATCAGCTATCAATCAAGTGGATAAATGATGCAGACAGGCAACTGAGGGTTTTCATTTGTGAGTAATATTAATTGTGGGTGTAAAATGAAAGATATAATAAGTGATGAAGGTACCACTCAATACTCGGATGAAACATTTTCTGAAGTTTGCTCCAGATGGGGAGTTCCAAGTAGGATAATTGTATAAACAAATAAAACTTCAGCTCGGCACTGACCACTGTATGTTCTTGAAAAAAAACCATATAGAAGTGTCCATTGATTATTGTTCTCCTTGATTTTGGTTTTCCAGCCCTGTATTCTGGCTTGCTGTTCATTAGTCTGGAGTAATTGGGCTGGGAGAGCAGCATTCAGACCTCAGTTCAATATGCAAGGCAAATGAAATATGCAATTATCTGATACAGAGTCACAGAATTCCATCAAATGGAAACAAATAGTGCCAAATCAAGACCACATGTCTCTAAGAGGATTATGAATTTTAGTGATATGCAGCTAAATGTCATCTATTTGCAAATAATTGAGGAATTTGAAAAAAAATCCTTTTGAAGATTTTTTTTGACTATAGTAATTGTAAGAGTGCTTGCCAGGATTTTTCTGAGGACAGTGTGCAGAAGTCTGAAATTCAGACAGAAATGACTCTGTTCCTGATAATCCTTTCTGAATGGGACTCCTGATTGTCCTTCAATGGGGCCTGATCATTTCCCCAATGAAGACTGGACATCTGAACCAATGCTTTCAAGCACTAATTAACCCCATGAGTTTTCTGATAAACTTTTAATGCATTTTTTATAAATCATGTTCAAATGAACCATTCTTTACCTAAAATCTGAAAAATCTCAGAGATGCTTTCTGCTTTGTCTTTTAAAAGATTTTTAACAGTGCATTTAGGCATTTCCCATCCTGTGTCTGCAGTAGCTTGACAAAGAACCTTTATATTTTCCTTTATTTAGATACTGGAGTGCTCTTCACCTCATGTCTGTCACTGAGAGCTACATGTGGTTGCTAAGCCTCCCCTATCACATGGAAGGGTGGAGACAGGGCAGCAGTTTTCTCTGGAAAAGAGACAGATGATCATGCCAAGTTGTGGAGAAGTACTGGCAATGGCTTTCTTGGGAAGAGATTGAGACACTCTTTTGACAGGAGCCAACACCCATTTTGAGATGGAAAATGTTCATCCCACCATCTAACTCTGCAGCGTCTTCTCCAGCAGGAGCTTCTCTGGGAAAACACCCACTGCTGTGTGATGCTGAAGATCCTGTGGCTTGTTCTGTCACCAGTACCGACCCTGCCTGTGCTCATGCTCTCTTTTTATTGCATTTTTGCCTGCACAAAATGCTGTGAACAGCCAACTGGCCACAGTTAAACGTGAGAATGGGAGTGAAACAGGTTTCCCCTGCCTGCTGCCTTTGTTTCCAGAGACTTTGCGGTGGTATCTTGTCTTGTTTGTCTCTGCATCAGTCTGGTCATCATCTATTGTCTGTCAGTTTGGGGCTCAGTGTCCCATGCTCAGGCAGCAGGAGTCTAACAGGGCTCACCTCTCCCCAGGCTGCTGTGGCAGGGTTCACAGGGAGCCTGCTGTCAGTACGTGCACTGCTGGTTCAGGCAAAATGAGCTCTGCATTCACAAATAATACAACTTTGGCTAAATTCAAGCCCAAAGGAATCACTACCTTGTGCTTTTCTCTCACGTGTGTATTTTTAGACTAGCTACAGTTTGGATACTAGCTGGCATAAATCCCATTTTTTTGATGGTTTGGGTTTTGGTGCCTGGGACAGGGTTGTGTAAATCTGTTCATTCAGTTAAACCAGAGTAACAGCTGAATTCAGACAGGTCTGCTACAGAGACCTGCAACACATACCCAAGGTAAAGCAATTCCCACATCTCACTGGCAGATACAAACAAATAAATAGTCAGTCTTAAAGCTTTTGTACAGAAGACACTTTATCCATTTAAAATACATTTTAAGAGTGCAAAAGGGTGAGTGAGTATTTCCAAATGCACAGCACAAAACAAGGCCTTACAGATTGCCAGAAAATGGTGGAAATTGAGGAGATAGCAGTATCTCCTATTTGGATAACCAGGCAGAAAACAAGTGTTGTGAGCTTTGGGCCTGTGGAGCACAGGGATGGTATCAGAAGGCAGAGGTAAGGGAAGGGCACTTGGTGGGCTTTATTGTGTTCCAAGACTGCATCCTATTTCCTACACTAAAGGAACACATCGTGTTGGGTTTTCTCCAACAAGCAGGATATTGTTTAAGTCCTTTTTCAACAAAGTATTATCAAGTTTATTTGGGTTTTTTTGTTTTGCTTTTAATTGGGAGCAGCAGCAAAGTTCAGAGTACCATGGGCAGATGTTACAGGGACACGAAAGTACAAGATAAGGTGCTTCCTAACACAGGAAGGCTATTTTAATAGTTGGTTTTTAAGCTGATATTTACAAAGGAAGGAAAGTCAAAGGCAACAATAATTAATGTCATCATTATGGTGCTGATTTGCAGAGAAACACAGTGGGATTAGGAACTCAATCATTTCAGCTTTTTAGAAGACTTCAACACCAGATCAGGCAGCAATTGAAAGACAATAAGCATCAAAATCTAGGTGTTGCTCTCTAAATTTTATGTAAGGAACCTATATTTATATAAGTGTATAGATTGCAGATGGAAAAGAGTGTTAACAAAAGGGAAGGTAAAGTTACAGGTCTCACCATCTTCCCTCATTAATGGTTCTCAGCAAAACCTGCTGAGCTTTGTGACTTTTTATTTATCATTAAAACACAATTTTTGTTATTTGCTGAATGGTTAAAATTTATTTTCCTGGTAATTTGGGGTGGTAGCTGTTTATCATATGGAATGATAAACAAAAGCTGCAAAAGTCTTTTCAAATGGGTTACTTTGCAGCCCTATAGAGCAGAGCTTCATGAGTTTTTTTGCATTGTCAGGAAAATCTAAACTAATTTAATTCATGGCAGGGAGCATATGTTAATGACTTCTCTGGGTGGAGGAAGGTAGTGCACACCTCCCTTCTAACTCAGTGGTCCTGATCTACAAGCAGGCCAATAGATCAAAACCACATGCTATCTCATGGTAAGAATTGGATTCATGTTCTCTTTAGATGCTTTTGTGCATCACAAAAACCATTGGTGAGTTTGCTACCGCTTCAAGCTGTCCAAAGGTTGAATTAGGTCCAGGTGGGATGGATCCCTGAGCAGCCTGGGCTGCTGGGTGGCACCTCTGCCCCTGGATGATCTCCCCTCCACCCCAAACCATTCTGTGATCTCCCTGCCCAGCAGAACCAGGTGCTGCTGGCCAGCAGGAGAGGAAGGGAGGGAGCTCTGCTGTGAGCTGATACAGCATTTCTGCTTTGCCAGCTTCCTCCCTTGCAGGCTTGTTCTGACTTAACAGCTCTGTTGAAAAACTGTATAAAGGAACCAAAAGAAAAGGTATTTCAAGGAATGAAATTAAGAATTGTAAGGATCTTTGAATAACTAGTGTTTTCAAACTGGGTTAAAGCAGACTTAGAGTAATCTGACATGATGTAATCCTAGTGAAGTTGCAGGAAAGCAGAAATTAAGTATTTATTTGGTATTACAGTGTCTAGTATAAGATATTGTTAAGTACTGTCAGTAACTCATTATATATTTATTTAAAAAAATAAGAACTTAAAAGAAAAAAAGAAATTTGAGATTAGAATGTGGTTGCTGTACATGCATTATACATGCTTCTCCTTCTGTTCCACTAATGGATCTTGACTGCCAGAACAGCGAAACGAACCATTGAAATTAGCGGAACTAAGACCCAGATCTATTAGAAATTTTCATTTGCCTCCAGTGTAGAATTTCAGACAGATCCCTGATTTCTGCAAAGCATTTCCAAAGTATCACAGCTATTCTGAAAAATGAGTTTTCTGTCAAGGGGAACAAACGTGGTGGTAGAAGCCATTGAAACTTCTGCTTCCTAATGGCCACACTGAAAAGACATGAAAAGGATGAAGCATCTCTAGTGGCACATCATTAATGCTGGTGGCAAGCTGAGGAACTGCTGGGGAAAGAAATAGCAGCAGCAGAAAGAGCATGAGATGAATGAAGCTGGAGTCATCAGCATGGAAGTGCCACGTTAATTATACCATGTTCTGAAAAGAACTAAAGGCAGAAACAAAGCTGAAACCAAGAGGCACAAGCCACCCATGGAGGCTTCACTACCTGATCTCACCAGGGTTTTATTACAAGTCACTGCTGGAAAACAGAGCTTCTAACCTCTCAGTCCTGGTGATCTCCCACTGCTGGAAGAGTGGCTAATCCCAAAATTTTCACGTCCTGAGCAAAAATCAGAGGTAAAATGCTATTACAGTTGGAAATGTAGTTGTTGGTTATCAAACAAAATATGGAATGGAACTTATGGGCCACAGAAGTTACCCTTGTAAGGGGAAAAATTCTAGCAAAAATCATGGTAAAATATACTGCAGAAGTGTCAAAAATCTGGTCTTCAGTACAAAATGCTCTTCTGAAACCCTCCAGCATAAAGTTATGCTTCATTATTAATGCTGCCCAAGCATGCTCTGCTTTTGCCAAAATAATGGAACTCTGAACCTTTGCTGGGACTTTCCATATGACTGTGGCTTTAAGTTATATCCTTCAATTTTTTACTTTTTCTCTGTTTTGGTAATGGGAATGTTTAGTGCCTGGAAAATTTGAGACACTGAAAGAACCTAAAAAAATGTATATGCAGGAGAGGATTTGGGTTTCTTCTGAATCCTGGTCAGACTCTGGAAAACAGAACCAAACCTCAGAACCAAAAATTCCTTCATGAGTTTTCAACATTTCTGCTAGTGCTGAGTTCCAGGGTCTGGCTTACATTGGGAAACCTTGACTCCTGGCTCCAAAGGGTTCAATTAGTCAAAATGGTTGGCAGATGGAAAAAATAATTAAGTTCCATCCAGTGTTTTGTACAATAAAAATAGACTCAAGACACAATGGCCTTACCTTGAACTTTGCAGGCCAGCGTCACATAAAGATAAAGAGGGAGTCAGCTTTTAGGAGCTGGATTATCTACCAGCACATGAAAAGTGTGAAGCTGGGCTGCAAGGGCCAGAGGTATCAGAATGTGCAGGCTGAGCACGTGATTATTACCTTAATGATTGTTTTTTAGCCCAGATTGAAGATGCAAATTCTGGCAATGAGAAATAACTTGACATGGATATTATGAGATTACCAAAACCTCATGATAGTAGTAATAACAATAATCATCTGTTATTTGAAGAGCTGCTGAAATGCATGGAAATTTTAAAATATTATTCTTAGAAATCTTTCTCCTAAATGCTTTGTCTTTCCTGAAAATGACAGAAAAGTAGATAGGTAACACTTTTCTCAAATTTTCTTATGCTCAAATACAGCCTTAGATGCCCAACTTCAAGAACTTGAGTACTTGAATATACAATAATGGACAAGAAACATAACCTGTGCCATAACATGACATCAAAATTATTTTTGCTTCAACTATCCTGTAAGCTATGTAGGCCAAAGAATTAGATCTCACATTATGCACCCGATCATTCTGAATAATGAATATATTCACAAAAAACATATAGGCATATAGGGTAGATTTTCAAATTGGGAAGTGTGACTTACTCCACAAATGATTTATTATAAAATAGGTTGTAGTGAAATTTTTATGGACGAAGCAATGTTTTGGATAATAAATTACATATTACAGACAATAAAAAGTGGAAAGATTCCCTACCACTGTCAACCTGGCAGTAGAGGACACGTGGGCTCTGGAGATTTATCTCTAAGTATAGAATGAAATCTCCAGATTATTAGGGTGGAACAGAGTTCTAGGTTGCAATATTAATAAAGTTTTCCAGAAAGTGTAAGAGTTCCACGTATCTGCACTTGGACATCTACGTTTTTACATCTGCTCTTGGCTGTCACTCAGGGCTGGATGCAACTGGGTGCTCAACATCTAAAAGGGATGGTGAAATAAATTACACAGATCTCCCTGCAAGTCTGATCAAGCTCTGAAAGGTGAGGTAAGTCTGCTTCCTATTGCTCACCTCCTTCCTTTTCTTCCCTAAAATTCTACCAGGGACGATATCCATCTCTTTCCCTCTCCCGCATCCCTGCTCCCAGGCCGCCCTGCCCCACTGGGGCTGCACCCACCATTGCCACCCCACGCTTTTCCATGGCAGTAGGGTTTTGTTCCATGTGTGAGCAGCGCTGGGGATCCAGGGTGAGGACAGGAGTACACAGGGAGGCTCCTGATGGGATATCATGGAGTGTTTTGGCAGCACTGGTGTGGTTGAATTATACGACTGGTGCTGCACTGCCAGCGCTTTAAAGAAGTGATGTCTGTGTGTTTGTGATTGCTCTGATGCTCTGGGCTCCTCTGAGGGTGCAGATGGCCCCTACCCTTATCTTCATGGAGTGTCTCATGTTTCTTTGTGGTGGTAGTCCAGAAAAACCACTGAATCTGTCCCAAATCATATGGTGTTTAGAGGGATAAAGATGTTCAGCTGAGCCTGGGAATCATTAGGTGGCTGCCTTGAAGCCAAGCTGTTTGGATGGGGCTCAGTTTCACAGCTGGCAGAAGAAGGAGAATCTTTTTCTCCTCCAGTTGCTGAGACTGTCAGCAGCAAACTTGCAGAGCCACCTCCCAGTTCTTGGGGATTCATGGGATGGTGGAGTGGTGGATGTCCTGTTTGGTGAACTCTAAAGCCATTTTGTTGGGGCATGTGTCTGAGGGGGTATCTTTAAATCTGGAGCCCATTCTTTATTGTTTTGTGGTTGGAGTCCAAGTATTGGATCTGTCTAACAGTCTCCTTGGGATAATAGTGGAGGATCTTGATATTTAAAGTAGGATGTGGCAAAGGTGAAGGGTCTCGAGAGGCAGAATTTTTCCTTTGAGTCATAACAGTAGTTCACACCACCTGAACCTCCAAGTGAGCATTCAAAGCCCTGATTTCTCTTATGTCTCAAGGGCCAAGCTTCCTGGGTTCAGCCTGTCCCAAAGCACATGCTTCTGACTTGACACAGCTCTCCTTAGAGGCCAGGAAAAATCAATGTATACTGTTGTGTTAAACCCAGTGAGGATTAACAGAAGGGATGTGCTAATGAATTCCACGTGAATATGCTGCAGCAGACCAGTCCACAAAGCACAGAAATAATTTGGTAGAAAACCTGCCTGATTTCTATTCCAGCTTGGACTGATGGCTGAGCCTTTTCCTACCTGGAACCAGGGCTATTTCCTGGGATGCCACTGGCATCACTGGGGTGGTGTGAGGTGTGGTACCCTGCCCAGCGTGGGCAGAGCTGCTGCTGCTGCACAGATCAGAGCAGGCAGCACATCTTGATGTCTGCTGCGACTCATAAGGTGAAGGCTTTGATGTAGGTCCAGGACCTGGCCCTGTGATGCAAGATGCACTGCAAAACCTGCTTTTCAGGGAGCACATCCGTAGCCATGGGATCTTCAGAAACAAAATCTTGTCCATCAGGAAGCCTGTAACAGTAATCAATCCTCAGGACTCCCTCAAGAAGAGTTCCTTGTCCTAGATTTGACATTAGTATCCTCCAGCTCTGGGGAATATCTGGGGAAGCCCAGGCCTGTCTCATGATGTTACATGAATTACTAAAGCAAAGGCAGGTTTAGTTTTTGCTTCCAGCTCAAAAGCTCTTCAGTTCCAGCATCAGTGCTCCCATTGAAAATGCTGAAATACCTATTTGTGTGATGTTCTGTAATTGAGTTTAGTTGTATTACCTCAGAAATACACTGCACTGAAATCCTCTAAGTTTTCACTAGCAGAGCAGCTATGCCAGCTGAAGAAGAGAAACTGGTGTGATAATTTTTCTACTTTTACACCCACTTCCCTGTGCCTTCTTCACTTTTACTTCTTTTCACTAGCCTGGCTCTAGCTCTTCTCCTTGGCAGTGCTCCTGTGCCCACGTGCCTGCACGCACACACACAGGCTCGGGCAGGTATTCGGAACCTGACTTCACACTTCATCCTTCTCCCTTGTTAATTGTAAGAAAAAAGGGAAGGAAGAATGAAAACAAAAGTGTTACACAGAGAAATGAGGCAAAAATAGAAATCCAAGGGTATGGTGGTTGCAAGGGATGCCCAGAAATTTCCTTCTGGAGTCTCTTTTAATCATCTCTTGTACTTTGCTCCACTGCTCTTCTTTCAGCTGCTCAGGCCAGGTTTCTTGGTAGACTTTTACTGCCAAGTGCTATTATAACCAAACTGCTCTGATCTTTAGCCAAATCTTAGGATAGAAGTGGGTGTGCTGAAGCATTGGTGAGCCAGTGAGGGAACTCTTTACCAGGGCTGGAATGGCAAACATGACTGTACAGATGAGAGCTGCGTGAGCAGGACTGCAGTGCTGCCATGGGGTCTGGTTTCAGCTGCTGCATGCAGGGAAGAGCAGTCCTGGATGTCTAGGGTATACAACCCTTTGAGCTACAACCACACAGATTCTAGCACACAACACAGATAACAAGAACCATTTTAGGCTACTGGGTACCTGAGACAACATCTGGGTTTTGCTGACGTGTCCCCAGGCTGTGCTGACAAAGTGCAGATCCCAGCAGGAATAACTGAGGCTTCACTGAATCTTGTGCCCAGGCCATCCTGGAGAGGAACCACCAAGGAGGCAGAAGGGTTCCCATTGGGCTGTCAAGGCTGCCTCCCCTCCTCATGGCTCAGTGTGGGCTCCACAGCTCTGCCTGGCTGGCTCTGGGCAAGGACCAAAGTGTGGCTGGAGCATGAGGAGAGGCAGAGCTGGGAAAACAGAGCCTTTACATGTTCATCCTCTGAAGGGCTGAAACACCATTTAAACACACTAATTTCTCTTAAAGACCTTGGTCCATATTAATTATTAAAAAGAATGCCTGAGTGAAATACCAAAAAACCTCCAAAATTCTATGCACAAATGCACTGAGCTTGCAGGTTCCCAGGGCTTTCACCGACTTTGTGCCATACATCTGCAATAAAAGATTCTCTATTTGCTTAGCAGATGTGCTGAAGTCATGTAGAGTTCAAATTTACCATACCCATCAAGATGCAAATCCCAAATTTCGTTTAGCATTGTCCCGTTGGTAAGGATGTTATGCGCAGGTCAGGATTCTATCTCCCCGCAAGCCCTTTAAATGTGTTTATTCATTCTGTTTATTTTCATTTCCCAGTTTCCACATGTTGCTCAGTCAGATTTTCTGTTAGCAAGACTGAGAGACGAATAACATATGTTACCCCACAACTGACCTTGAAGGGGAACTGAAGAAACCATCTTCCCTAGGGCTGGGATGTAATTCAGCCATGAGCCTGCTCCGTAGAGGTCCTTTTCTGGAAAGACACTGCCAACTGCGTCGTAAGCCCTGGAAACGTTCCTGCCTGCATCGACAGCAGAGCATGAAGTATGTACCAGGGGGATGTAGAGGATTTAGCCTTCTGTGCCATCCCTCCCTCGGCTCTCATAAGCAAAGCAAACCAATTCTTTGTGTCTTATGACACAAAGTCTTGTGAATCGGATAATTCAGCCAGCTTGAGTCGTTTCCTCGCCAGCCTGGCTTTTCACCTGAGGGACTAGGTTTGCTGATCCTGCCCAGGTTAAAATGACTGAAAATCAATGTGGTTTGACAGCTGTGGGAAAAAAATAAATAAATGGATGTACAGACTGTTGAGCAACAAAGACTCTTCAAGTGGATACGAAGTGAGGCACAAAAAGAAACTGTTGTCTCTTATCTTCCTTACAGGCTCTTGATTCATGGCCAGTCACAGCCCTGTCTGATAGGGTTGGCCTGACTCTTCCATGGTGTTTTCCATCTCCTCTCTGATGAGCACATTCTGCTCAGGAAGAAGTCACAGGAGGGCTGCTCAACTCCCCTGTCCTTGGCTGGCTGAGCTGGGCACAAACAGGAGGTGGGTATGTCTGTATTGCCTGAGCCTGATGTTGCAGGCTGGTGTGGCAGTGCCACTGCCCCACTGCTGAGCTCTGTTTGCCTTTGAAACAGCAAAATGTGGAAGCCCTCATAGTGGAGCCCAGCTCCTGAGGACATCTGGGTGGGGGTGGCACTGTGGGATGAAGGTGCCTGTGCAGAATGGGGCAGTAATCCCAAGCTGCTGGTTAGACCCACTTGCATTGGTCCCCTGGGTGAGTGCTCCAGAACAAGGTCTGAAAAGTCTGGGTTTAACTCAGTCAGTTATCAGCTCCCACAGGCCACCTGGATGCTCAGAAGCTGCTGAATGTAGACACCTCCATGCCAGAGGCTCCTTCTCTGCCTGTCACCCCCCCACCCCAGACATCAGATTTCCTGGTCCTTCCAACTGGCATTGGCCTCAGGAGTTCATATAACCTCCCCCCTTTTCCCCCCAGTATCACTTCTTTCTCTGGGGAATGTGATCACTCTGTTTCCTACAATTCAGAATTGAATTACATCTTCAAAGCATTTGGACAACATTCTCAGTCACATGGTGTGATTCCTGGGGCTGTCCTGTGCAGGGCACAGATCTTTGTGGGTACATTCCAACTCAGGATATTCTATGATTTTTTGATTTTCCCCAAAGGTTGAGGAGTTTGGGAAGGGGCAGTCTGTGTGAGCACGTATCAGAGTCTGCCTCATTAGCTTGGTGTCACCCTCTGGTGAAATCTCAGATCAACATGGAACTGCAGCACAGAGAGGAGATAAATGTTACATTCAGCATGACTTGCCAGTTCTGACACACAGGAACACTAAACACATATCCTGACAAAATCCTAAAGTCATGCCAGTTTGAATCCAAAAACCTGCCTCCTCAGTTAGCGCTTAGTAACAATTTCATATCATTTTCCCCATGTAATTAAAATGTCTTTCCTGAGCCAAAAAATGAAATTTTCTTTACAGTAGGCAATTGTTATGTAAAACTACTATTCCCTTTAGTTCCTGTCAGTTTAATGTAAGTTTTTAGTTGTGTTTGGAGACATCCATTTTGGGAGTTATGACATTTCCTATTCTGGTACTGTGGTTGTGGGAAAGGAGGAAAGTGAACTGTGTACTTGGATTTCAGCTGGACTCAGTATCAGCTCAAATTCTAGATTCAGAAAATGTTTCCACAGGTCTATGGATACTACCTATGGCTGGCAATGGATATAGGTAAAGTGTCACTAGTGAAGCTTTTAGGAAGGTTTATTAATGCCCATGGCAGCCCAGTAGTACCTCCCATCATGACATCTCTGTTAAGGAGAGGTGAACAGGGTCATGTACACATTTTCTTAACATTTTCATACTGTGGGTTTGATTTTGACTGCTTTTACTTTTTTTCAGCTCACCCATGACTGTTGCTCTCCAGCAGTGCTCAGCAGCTCCTGGGAGACGTGGAACTCTCCATGGCCACAGATGATGCCAAGGGTTTAGGATCTTCCCCTTGCTCCTTTCTCCCTTCATGTCTTCTCCAAGGAGCTGCATTTCAGTTTAGTGCCACGTTTGGAAATGTGGGTTCCCATGATCTCTCAGATGTGCCAACGGGCTCACTGGCATCACAGGTCAGGGTTTCTGTCACCACCCGAAAAATGGACTTATTGGCAAAGGAACAAAGCTCAGAAATAACGTTTTAAACCTGTCAAGTCTGATTTACAGAAAGCTTCCATGATCTAGAAAAGAAACAAGCAGTGATTGCATTCTACTCCACCCTAATTTTAATTATAAAAAATGCTAGTATGGTTTTCCAGTTGACTTCCCTGTATAGGAAATAAGTAGAGTTGGAGTAAATCTTCCAAATAAACATGTTTCTCAGACATAAACATGATAAATCTTTTCTTTTGAGAAAGATATAAAGAATGGTTAACTTAAAATATGCATATAATAACATATTACCCACAGCTTCTCATGTTTAAAAGGATTCCATATGCTGGGAAAACCCATAAAATAAAACCCAAGAAATGCTGCATCCTCTTTCTATTAATTTGAAACAGTCACTTAATGGGAAAAAGGAAAAGAGAGAAAAAAATAAAGAAAACTGGTAGAACAGAATTATTTTATTTTTTCTTAGAAAATCCCAAGCAAATCAGTAACTCCAACATTCCAATCTCTTCATCCTGTTTTTAGTGGGGTATTAATATGTAAACTCAATACTTCTGTTGAAAAATAGCTTTGGGTAAGGAAAAAATGGTAGCAAATTCCAGGGTGGCCTTACTAGCATTTTTGATTGAAAAAACTTGGAAAAATGTTGTTGTTTTAGGATGATGAGAAGTGCTGCCATCTCTTGTGGTTTACCCAGGATTGTCCCAAGTTTGACTGTTGTCTCTGGTTAGGTTTGAAACCAAAAAAGGGGCCAGTAACAGTGGCTCCCTGTCTTCCCCATTCTTGCCCCATATTTAATGAGTAATTGATTTTAAAATAGTCCCACTGAAGAAGATTTCTGTTAAAGTACCATGGGTAAAACAGTCTACTTTTCCTATTTATTTTTTGGGTTTTTTTAAGAGGAGTTTTATATCTCCAAAAAGGTGTATTCCATATGACTGTGGGCTGTGGAGCTGGGGTGGTGGGAGCTGGGGAACAGACTGGGGCTAGGAGGACTTAAGCTCTGGGCTGATTACTCTTTTGATTGGGTTTACAAACTGGAGAAAATAATCTGTATTTCACTTCACTTCATTTGTGATTCCCCCTATTTTGTCAGATATTTTAGATGGAGAACACTTGATGGACAGATGCTGGCCACTCCCTGGCAGGGACACCCAGAGCTGCTCCTCCAAGGAACTGAGCAGAGTTCGAGACTTTCAAGACCTTTCAAGACACCAAGATGGGGATGGGGACTGTCCTGTTTAATAATCACAGCCCAGTGGTCAGAGCCCTTCCTTGCAGACCTGTTTTTAACTGTCTGCCTTCAGCTTGGGTTATTTCCACTTCTCATACATCACTGTCCTGTGAAATTTTTGATCTTGATCAGTTGTGGATGCCCCATCCCTGGAAGTGTTTAAAGCCAGACTGGATGGGGCCCTGAGCAGGAGGCAGCAGGAGGTGTCCCTGCCATGGCAGGAGGTGGAACTGGATGAGCATTAAGGCCCCTTCCAACCCAACCATTCTATGGTTCTATCTATTTGGGATTTTGGCTTTCCAAGGGATCAAGGCTCCCACCCAGCTTCAAACTTAGAACTCCTCATGCCCCAGAGAGGCCACAAGTCTAAGCAGAGCTGGGGACACACCAGGCAGGGAACGTGGAGCTGCACAACCCCATGCCCTGTGCCAAGCACCTGCAATTAGAGAGGGTTTAACCAGTCCAGTGACAGCCAGACAGTGCTTCCCCAGTGTGGGAACCCCCATTCCCTGCCTGTGCCCACTGAGGGGCTCACCTGTGGCTGTGGTGAAGGGGTTAAAGAGGGCTGGGCCAGGCTCCAGCTGTGTGTGGGGACTGGGCTGGCCAGCTGTGAGTTCAGCTATCCCCCAGACAGCTAGAAAAGGGCTGTGTCTCCTGCACTGCGATTAGAATGAGGGGAGGTAGGTTTTTGTCGTAGGGAAGGAGGTGGAAAAAAACTGTGCTTGACTGATTCCTTGCTGAGCAGTGTCTGGGGAGGATCTGGGCTGTGCTAAGCTGTCCTGAGAGGTGCTCTCTTGGCAGAGGGGTTAAGATAAGCCTGACCCGCTGACTTCTTCACTTAACATCCAGGCTGGGGAGATGCTTGTTTAGCCCAAAATCTTGGGTGAGGCAGTCAGCTGGAGTTCAAGATCCAGGGACTTAATGTCCCATGACTGAGTGTAGCTTGTTTGACCTGTAGTGCAGATCTTGAGAGGAGAGAGCAGGAGTGTTTTTATGGTATGTGCTGAGCCTGCTCTCCCTGACTCAAACACCTCCTGGAAAATGAATAATTGAACATACATGTGACTATGTATAGACCCTTCTTCAAACAGAACCTGAAATGGGCAAGAATATCTTCCAACTTCATAGACTTTTTCTCCTGCTAACTGCACAGGACTGGCCATAAAATCCATAGGGACATGGCTGTACAGCAGGGAGCAGGCTTTTCAGCCCACACTTTTCAGTCTGAGAAGAGGCCTTCAACTCTGAATTCTTTAAGCTAAGCAGTGTGGTGAATTCCTGCCTTCAAACTGAGCTGGAGTAGAAGGAGAAAACAAATTAATTCGGATTAGATTTTTCAAAAATATTATTTGCCAAGCCACACTGCTCCCTGCTAAAATCAAGTGATGCTACTATTGGCACAGTGCGTTTAAACTCACTACTGGGTTTTGCATGTTTTAGTAAAGGATGAAACTGATTGAATGAGATTGTCTATTAGTTGCAGTAGATCAGCAGTTTCTTCTTTGTAGTGATGCAACTGATTGTTTGCTGAATAATACAGTGAGAATAGACTCAGCATGCAAGCCCTGTAAACTGTCTGAAGAAAAAGCAATGTCCTTTTTTTCCCCCAATTGCTTCCAAGCCAGTAGCTGCTTCTAATATTCCTGTATCCAGTGCAAGCCCAGTGCTGTTCAAAACACACATCTACTATTTGTCAAGAGCTGTAATTGTTAGAAGAAAAGGATGTTGAGGAAAGCAGAGTGGAAACAGTATAGGAGGGCTGGCTGTGGAACTCCTTGGGCTGAATTTTGGGGCAGCTTGGTTCAATTCCTGGCTCTGCTGCATCCTTGTCCTGTGACCTTGGAAATGTCTCTCAGTCTGCTCAGTCTCAGCCCCACACAGGTGTAAAAAGAGGTAAAAAGAGGCATCATTTTATGCAGTACATACCGAATGAATGTCTACACTAAGTATTAAATCCATTCCTGTATTAAGTGGTAAAGTGAGAACCAATTCTGTAGACTTGTGTGATGCCCAGGACAGGGGGTCCTGATTTCACAGTGCAGCAATGGCAGTGCAAACCCCAGAATAATTCTGTCCTTCTAATTCTTGACAATGTTCATTATCTGCAGGCTGAGTTTCAGTAGATGCCTTTTTTTAGCCTGTACATTGGTGGGCGAGGGAATGAAAGGGGAGGATCTCCCACACCAAGCAGTTTTTTGTCAATGTAAATACATGTGGCATAACATTACGGACAAATAAAGGGCTCTTACCACTCATAAGGTGCTATGGTAATCCTTCACAGAGTCCTTTTAATGAATAAACCAGGGATGCTTCATGAGTCGTTTATTAAGGGTTAATGATGTATCTTCTCTCCTTGGCATCATTCCCAGCCTAAATCAAGCCTGCTTCATCTCATATGGATATGAAAGACAAACTGTACAGATTGAAAACATCTGTATACTGAGTGAATGAACCACATGGCAGCAGTGTCATGCAGAGATTTACTTAAAACTGTCCCCTTTTGTTTGACTTTAGAGGAACAGCACAAATAAATACAGTAGGTTCTGTTTAAACAAAGAGGACTCTGATCAATAGAGGTTTGTATAGCTTACGACCTTCAACTATAAACAAAAAATTGGGGTAAACCCCACAAGTCTCAGGTCAATTGCCATCGTATTTACTTTATTACGCCACTAATGTTCTAATCTCTCTTGCATATAAAATGCTTTATACAAGCCATCTTCCTTTGTTTTTCCATTTTCACCAGAGAGAAAAGGGAAGGTTGTGTTTGATTCAGAGCAACCTGTGAGTGTGGGTATGAGTGGGCAGTGGATTTAGAGTATTGTGAACTTACAGCGGACACAAAGAACACAGACAAACCAGTTCGGGCAAATTTCACATTCAAGTAAATTTTGGTTGAGGTTCCTAATAGTTTTTGGTGCTTTTTGAGAGAGTCCAGGCATCCACAAAGAAAAGCAAAATGGTTTGTGGCTCACCATAGCCAGTCCTGGGCACAAGAAACATGACAGAGTCATTGCCATATCGAAAGTAGCTGATCTGTTCTGGCTGTGAGCAGGGGTTATCCCTTGGAAACACTTGAAAACATTTGCAAGTATCTGCTAGGGACTCACCCTCGCTGCAAGCCTTTATTATTATTATTTTTGTTGCTGTCTCCCAGCAAGATTAAGTAATTCCAAATACTGAGGGGATGACACTCCTGCATGAGTTCTGCCCTCATATCTCCAAATAGCTAACTTGAATTATAATTACTTTTTTTTTTCTGGCACATTTTCACTTTTTTTAAAGGAGAGAGACTATTATCTTAATCTGTTTCTGTCCATTTTTATCTTCCCTGGATAACTTTTAATCCTTTTGGTCAATTTTAACAGAAGACTAAAATAGGGGGAAAATGTGCCTATACCAGTTTGTGAATATAGACAGCAAGGTAGAGGAGAAATATTCCAGTCATGCCTTTCCCAGTGGTTGAATCTACAGCAGGAGCCTTCATGAGGCATCAGAGGGGCCAGTCAAGACACACAAAGCCAGGAGAACCCAGATTTATTAGCCTTGATTCTCAGTTATTCAGATGTTTTTCTTTGCTGAGGACATTCCTATTCCCATTGGCTCCAATGTTTTCAGCTTCAGTGTTATCTGCTCTAATCTGGGAAATAGTTCACTGCTGCTTCAAGTGCATTTTCTTGCGGAATTCAAATCCTTTGGGGGTAATGTAGGGTTAAGTCCCACTGGGCATATGACTTTCCTCAGAGATTTGAGAGATTTGGAGAGATATTTCTGGATGTTTTCTGGTTTTGAATTTATGGTGGGGATTTTTTAGTTAAAATGCAAACAGCCAGGCACTTCTTGCCTCCTTATGTCCTTGTTCCACGAGCCAGGTGACTTTTGTTCCACGGAGCTGTGTCTCAGCCTCAAACCTCACTGGGAGAACATCTTCCAGACCTCTCAGTTTTGCAACTGAGTGCCCTTGTTGTGCTTCCAGCATTTCCTCACAGCCGCACTTAGGCCCAGGAACGAGAGCAGCAAGTCCCAGTCTCAGCAGTAATGTCTTCCCCATCATTAAATAATTGAGCTAGTCCTGCAATCTGGAGCCCAGCAGCCGGAGACACTACCTCATAGCTGGTGGGTCTCTGGCAGCAGGTTTGACAAAACCCTTCAGGGA